CCAGGTCTCTGAGGACAGAATACTGGCTAGTAGGTCAAAATCAGACTGATTTATAAAAGTGAGAAACATGCCAGGTGGACTCAGGTGCTGCTGGGGTAGAAGCATGACTCGGCCAGCATTCATAGGAACTGCCAGCAGTCAGGAAACTCTTGGGAAGCAAAGGAGGAAGCCAGCCCTTTCTCTTCTAACTCTGCAGTCTTCCTCTCCAACCACCCTATTGTCAGAGTCTAACAGGAAACCAACTGGCAAAAACCTGGCTTTCAGGTTTTCTAAGCCCCAGCCAGCATCCCAAAGCAGAATAGAGAAGAGTTGATTTGCAAGTCAAACTTGGAAATTAATAATTGACATGATTATGTTATTCAATGAGTTTTCCAATAAAATTTTTCAGCCTACTTGGTTTGTTAACTTTGGAAACAGGCATACTAAAGTCTCTCACCAGCCAGGCACAGTGGTGTACACTTACAATCCCAGCAATTTGGGAGGCAGAGGAAGGAGGATTACAAGTTCAGAGCCAGCCTCAACAAGATCCTGTCTCAAAATAAAAAATATTTTTTAAAGGGCTGGGGATGCTGGACATGGTGGTGCATGCCTATAATCCCAGCAGCTTGAGAGGCTGAGGCAGGAGGATGGAGAATTCAAAGTCAGCCTCGGCAATTTAGTGAGGCCCTAAACAACTCAGTGAGATCATGTCTCTAAATAAAATACAAAAAAGGGCTGGGGATATGGCTCAGTGGCTAAGCACCTCTGGATTCACTCCCCAGTCTCAAAAAATGGGAAGGGGGCAGGGGATGTGGCTCAGTGAGCTCCTGAGTTCAATCCCCAGTACCTAAATAAATAAATAAATAAAGTTTCTCACCACTTATATGGATTGTCAATCTGTCTTTGAATTTCTGGCATTTTTTTTACCATGAAGTTAGTTATCTGTTATTAGGTTTACAGCTTTTATCTCAGTAGATTGTGCCTTTAAATCACTGTAAAGTGTCACACCTTATCTTTTTTGGCCTTGACTTGGCTTTTTATTTGATATGAATACCTGTGTTAATGTATCTCAAAAACAATATGGCATTGCACACTCAGGGGCACTTTACCATTAAGCTACATTCCCAGCGCCCCCCACCCTCTTTTTTTAATTTTTTTTTTTTTGAGAAGGGTCTGTCTACATTGCCCAGGCTGACCTTGAACTTTCAATCTTCCTGCCTCAGTCTTCCAAATTGCTGGAATTACAGGTGTTCACACCAAATCTGATTCTATTGGTCTTTAGTATATGTTTCTATGTACCTTAAGTATTTTTCTTCTTTTGTGCTTTTTTGTGAGCATTAACTCTTCTTTTAATTCCATTTTTCCTCAAATTGTTAAAGGTAATACATTTAATTTCTGTATTTTTAGTGGTTATCCTAAGATCCTATTTATATATTCAAACTTACCTTTGTCTGTCAATAACTAGAATCAACCAAAAGTAAGTCTTCCCTTTAATAAGAAGAAAATCTTAATGTGCTTTTATCTGCTAAACCCCACCCCTGTTGCTTCCCATAATGTAATAAACTCTAATAATAATTTATATTGGTTTTGATTTTTTAATAATATATCAACTATTCTTTAGTTGAGATATTTAACTGTTAGTTTTACTTCTTTCTTACCCCACTGTTTGTATCTCAAAGCTTCCTCTTTGTTAGATTCTTTATTGTGTGTATAACTTAGGTGCAAAGTTGAGTCTTTATGGCTGAATAAAACTCCACTGTGTATATACACTACACTTATCTATTCATCTGTTGATGGACACCTAGGCTGGTTTCATAGTTGGGCTGTTGAGAATTGTGCTGCTATTACAGACATGAGTATGCCTGTGTCACTACAGTATGCTGACTTTAATTCTTTAGGACAAATACTGAGGAGTGGTACAGTTGGGTCATATGGTGTTTTCATGCCTAGTCCTTTTTTTTTTTTTTTTTTTGGACTGGAGATTGAAATCAGGGGCACTCAACCATTGAGCCACATCCCCAGCCCTATTTTGTATTTTATTTAGAGACAGGGTCTCACTGAATTGCTTAGTGAGTTGGATAGCCATTGCTGAGGCTGGCTTTGAACACTTGATTCTCCATTCTCAGCCTCCCGAGCAGCTGGGATTATGGGCGTGCACCACCATGCCCGGTTCCATGCCTAGTCTTGTGAGAAACCTCCATATGGATTTTCATAGTGAAACCACACATCTTTGAATTCTCAAAAATGAAATTATATCCTTTGCAGAAAAATGATTGGAACTATAGACCATATGTTTAGTGAAATAAGTCAAACTCAGAAGGTAAAGGGTCCTATTTTTTTTTTCATATGTGGGAGCTGGAGAGGAAATTAAAGGGAGATCAGTAGAGGAAAAGGACCAGGGGCAGGAAATGGGGAGGGAGAGGGGAAGTGCTGGGGAATGATAGTGTCCAAATTATATTGTTATATTGTGTGCATGTATGAATATATAGAACAAATCGTATCATGCACCAATAAAATAATGTGGGGGGAAAACAGGAAAAAAAAATGTGTGGTTTCCTTCATCTTGGAGAAAATCTTTTTATTTCCCTCTTGATATTCTCTATATGGTCTTCCTCTGAAATTCTCTCGGATTCCACAAGTTTTGGCCTATCTTCAGCTACTGTTTTTTCTCATGCTTTGAATTTCTTTGCATTTTGTACTGTATTCTGAGAGAGTCCTCAGGTCCATCTTTGACTTTGTGAATTAGCTCTTTAGCTGGGTCTGTTCTTATATCCAGCATATTTATTCAGTCCTTTATTGCATTACCATATTTTAAATTTATGAAAGTGTTAGTAGATTCACTTCCACAACAACCTACTTTTATTTTAGAAATGAAATAACTTTTCAAATTTCTCAGAGGATGCTGATTATTCTATTTTAAAGTTTTTACTCTTTTTGTTAAACTGTCTGTTTTTTTTCCAGTGCTAGTTTCATCTATATTTCATGATTTTGTTCTCAAGGTAAATTTTCATGAAATATTTGGAGATTCTTGATTGTTCCTTTTTTCACATAAGAATCCCCAATCAGAAGCTTAGAATGCAGGTTCTGACATCCAGAGTCACTCTTGACGATTGTGGGAAGGGGCAGGCTTGTATGTAGGCATGGTGTAGCCCACCTTTCTAGAAGGAGGTGCTCTCTGTTTATCAAGGGATTATTGCTCAGGACCCACACTTGCCACCATGGCCCATCCACCTACAAACTCCCAACTTTGTTCATTGTACAGACCTTTCCCACATGGCTCACAGACCCTCATCTATGGCAGGCATTGTTTTACTTCTTACTATTTATTTATATGTGACCTTTCTCATTATAATATCATTAATGTGGGGAAGGGGTCTCCTTCACCTGGGTGAAGACAAGTGACATCTACACAGGACCCAGTCTCAGTGATTATTTGTTAGGGTGAACTCAGCTATTTATTGGCACATCTTAGTCAGATGGTCCCAAGAAAGAAATCTTTCCACATCCTCCTCATTTGGCCCATGTGGCTGACTGTGCTGGCTGTCTCTCCTGAATTCACTGACTTAACACATTCTATTTCTACTAAAATGACAAAGAGTATTTTCAAATCCTCTGCCAGGATTTTTATACATATATATTTCTCTCTCCTAAAACAGCTGGTTAGCTTTTTGCTCAGTGTGGACTCTAATAGCTCTGAGGCTAGAAAGAGCTTGCATGTTGCAAAGTCAGAAAGAAGGTCAGTGTGGTTGAGATACAGTAATGAGGGCGAGGTAGCATGGTATGAGATGGGAGGCAGGGCGGGGACCGACCTTGTGGGGCCTCCCAGGCCTGGTGAAGGAGTTTAGGGCTTCCCAGGCCTGGTGAAGTCCTAGTGCAAGGGGACTTATTTCCTGATGGATATTACAGCTGTTCCTTTTTCCAGTTAGCACTGGAACTGGTCTAGAGGGTATCCTGCTGATGTAGTGGGGGGCAGATGTAGACCCTGGCCTCTCTGGGAGTCACTCTGTGCTCTTACCAACCTTCATTCTATTTCTCTTTTGTTTCAGAGGTTGTGTTCTCATCTTACCCAGGATTTTCAACCTCAGAGGTAGGAACTGCCTAATTTATATTTGCATACTTGAGTTAGAACAGCATTTCTATTTATTTAATTACAGTCTCACATATGCTAAGTAAGCACTCCTCCACTGAGCTACATCCCTAGGCGAGGAACATTAATTTTAATAGGAAAAAAAATGTTAAAAAAATAAAAGGAAACGAAAAAAAATGTTTTTTGGTTTCTGAGAGGCATTTCTATAGACCACACTGAGAAAGGCCATTCGTTGAACAGATGTGTGCTAGGTACGAGGCACCGTGCTGGCCCCTAGAAGGGCAGTGGTGAGCTGAGCAGACAGGCCCTGACCTTGTGGGCCCACAGTCTAGTTTTCGCTGTCCTCAGATGCCATTCAGCATAACATACTAACAGTGGCTGCTTCAAGTGACAAAGCTTGCTGAAGTGTGGCTGCCACCAGCATGAAGCCCAGAAGGTCTCTAACAAGAATCTCCAAGAGCTGGAAAAGTTCTTGCCAAATATACCACTACCCGGATCCAATCCTTGTTGTCAAAGGCTTGGATGCTTGATTTTTGTCAGCACAGAAAATTGGTTTTTCTTTCAGGGCAGATGTTCACAGACCAAGCTCATGGAGACTCATGTACATAAACTAAATATTGATTTGTTCACTTAAAATAAGAAGTACAACTCTACATTTACCCAGCTAGTTCCTTGAGAGGCAGCTCAGTACACTGCCTCCCCACACAGATTTTTTAAAAAAGTATGTGAGAGATTGTACCAGTTTCTAGAATAGAAATATTAACTATTAACTATTGCTGCATAAGATACCCAAAATTACTGACTTCAAACAATCAGTTTGAAGGCACTTATTATTTCTCACAATTATCTAAGTGAGTTGGGTGGTTTTACTGGTTTCACCAGCTCATTCATGCAGCTACATTCAGCAGGCAGCTTAGCGGGGAGCTGGACTCACTCAGGTGGACAGATGACGTGGCTTGGCCTTTCCATGTGGTCTTTTCCTTATAGCATGGTGGCAACTGGGTTTCAGGAGTGCACAAGAAAATTTCAAGATTCTGAAATTCAAAGAATGTCACTTTACCACATTCTCTTGGCAATATAATAAGATTACATACAATACAATTCTGACACTGACTGTATCAGAATTAGTACAGAATTAGTAACTGCTCTCAGTTTACATACCAGCTACAAATTTGGGGGTCCCCAAGCTGTCCACAGATGAGCTGAATAAAAAGACACATGAAGTGAGATTTAGAAGGGCAAAAATACAGAGCTTCTACACTCTCTCCCATGGAATCAAGATACCTCACCCTCCCAGAACATGGATGTGCCCACCAACCAGGAAGGGCACCTGAGCCTGAGCCAGGGCTTTTATTTATATATGTATGTTTCTCTCTTCTAAGACAGCTGGTTAGCTTTCTGCTCAGAATGGACTCTAATAACTCTGAGGCTAGAAAGAGCTTACATGTTGCAAAGTCAGAAAGAAAGTCAGTGTGGTTGAGATACACTGATGAGGGCGAGGTAGCATGGGATGAGATGGGAGAGGGGGAGGGGGGGACCAACCTTGTGGGGCCCGTTGACTTCATGCTTAAACTCAACCTCGAGCTCCGTTTTCCTTGCAGGTTGTTCTTTCAAGACTGGTTAGCCCCCATCCTGAGTCATCTCATCAAATTCTGGTGTGATAAGTAACAGAGGCATTCCTGTCACTTAGGAAATTCCAAAGGTTCTAGAAACTATGTCCCAGGAACCTGTCACAAAGATCAGACAAATTATTTATATATAGTCACCAGTCAAGGAGGTAGAGATATGGATTCCCCTTTGAATGAGAGGAGCAGCAAAACCACACTGCAAAAAGGTCACGCATCTGGGGATGAGGGGCTTGTGAACACTGAACTGTGTCCCATGGAAACTGAAAATTGGTAGGATTGTTCAGTGATTAGATCCCAGCTGTCTGGATCTGAGAATCTAGAGGATGAGTTAGATGGTTGCATCAGAGAGGTCCAGGACAGGGCCCTCTCTGTCCTCGGGAGGCCAGTCATGCCCTCATGTCAGGAAACTCTGGCTTTTCTTTTTCTGTGCTCTAGTAGGACTTGCCCACCTTCAGCTCACCCAGTTCCCTCTAAGCAGGGAGTCGCATGGAACTGGCTGCCTTATTGTTACTGGATTCAGGTCTGGGCTGCTTGCCACTTGAAGGCCAATATTCAGGAGAGAAGAGTTGGTAGGAAGGAATCAGGTTTTTTTCAGTGGCTGGCACCTCGGAAGATTGGGAGGGGTGTCATCCTCAAAGCTCCATCTTGAGGAACTCTGGAAGGGAAATGAAATCCAGGGAGACAGGGGGCAGAAGGCTGTGTGCTGAGCAGGGTATTCATCCTCCGGGCCATTTTATTTTTTCCATTAGTCAGAATGTCACAGTGGACCTTAGAGTCTAGGGGCCAGTTCCTATATTTTCTTAAAACAGATATATTATTTTCCTGCAAGTTAAACCTCACAGTAATTTGCATGCTTTGTGTTATGTTAGTTGATGTATACAAGTAAAGATTAAGGAGGGGATGACAAAGGTCACCAGATGTTCTGGGTTCTGTAAATCTAAAGAAAGATTATTTATCAGTTAACATCTTATTAACATTTTAAGAATTAAGAATTGAGAATTGAGAATGCTGGGGAAAGGCAGGGTATAACACACTCAAAAGGACCAGGGAGAGGAAACAGCCTTGCAGAAGGGCACAGGGAGGCGGCCACTCTCACATGAGCAGACTGTCACCACAGTCGCTCTCTCAGGGCTTCATGTTGGGATCACCTGGTCAGGGGAGTCATGTACATTTCCAAACAGTATCATTAATTTTACTCTTTAGCCCATGACTGATATCTCAATTGTATGGCTTCACAAATTGACTCAGAAGGACAGAAAAATATTTGTCCCAAAGTGGGTGCTCCACAAACACTTATTGAATGAACAAATGAAAATTGAAAATTTGCCCAGGATTATACAGTGGTTAATGGAGCTCAGGACAGTATTTAGTTCCTCCTAACCTTACCATCAGCCCAAAACTTACCCTGTAATGTCTTTTGGTCTCATATAATTCAGGGCATCAGTGAATGAACTGAGTTAGTAGGCATGATTAATCTAGCAGTTTCATTTTTCTGCTTATCAAATAAATATGTTGGCCCTGAGGCAATCTGAGTTGTATGAGAGACCATGCCCTCAGGTGACTCAGATGGACCAGGCCACATTCAGACCCTAAGGCCTGACTCAAGTCATTCAGGATTTAACTGTTGTTTCATCCTTGAATGAAGAACCTCCACTGGGGGTTGGGACTGGCTAGTCAGACAAGTGTCAAGGCTGCTCACTCCTGCTCTCCCTCTCTCTACTAAGAAAAAGGTCCCTTAACAATGCAAGGGGCTTCTCCAAAATATGAGCCCAGCTGCATAGAAAGGCCAATTCAGGATCAAATGCTGTCGTCAGAGGGTGGGCATGAGGCAGAGTGCTAATGAGGTCTGCAGGGGTTCACTAGTGTCCTGTGTGGCCCCAGAGAACTTTGAACTGGGTGTTGAGAGTTTTCCACGTGTGATCTCAGAGAACTCAGAGCCAGAATTCTAGGCCCTTGGTGACATCTGCCCTTGTGACCCTAGAGGTGTCTATGGCCAAGCCTCTCTAGGAAGGTTGTTCTTTTTACCTCACTCAATAGGAAGGTCTTTGGCCATTGGCAGCCTCTACTTCCTTATGATTAGGGCACTTTGACCTTGACTTTTTTTTTCCTTCTAAGACAACCAAGGTATGTTCACTTCCACCCATATTCGAGATTCTTCCAGTGAAGTCACTGAAGGCCAGGAACCAGACACTGGCCCCACCCTTCCCGGAGCTGAGGTACCTTAGCCTGGCCTACAACAAGGTGACTCTCTGTTTCTCTACCTGCTTCCTTAGGGGCATAGATGGGAGGTGGGATGGAGAGCATTATGGCCTGAGGGCGAATCCTTCCATTCCCTGGTTCCTTCAATTCCACAGTCCTTCAATTCCAAGGAATTCTCAAGGTGGGGAAAGTAGACAGAGTGCAGCCAGGGCAGGAATCCCTCTATCCAGTCATGGATTTATACTTAGCGATTCCCATGTGCCAGGCCCTGAGCTAGGCATTAGGGATATAGCTGTGAAAACAAAGTCTTGACCTCTGATCTTTTGGAGCTTATCAACTGAGGGGAAGATGGGTACTGGACAGTCAGTCATTATAATCATCAACATAAACATGCTTAGTGTTATAAAGAAATTCCCAGTCATATGATGAGGGAGGGCAACCTCATATTTGGCATCAGGGAATTTTCTCAAGGAAAAATGGTGTTTGAGCTACGATCTGAATCAATAAGTATAGTCAAGTGAAGAGGGTAGGAACAGCAGATATAAATCGCTGGGACAGATATCACAAGTTTTTCCTGTATTTTTCCCAATATTCATAGCCTATTTGTTTTTCTGTAAAATTCCACTTATTCATTTATTTGGGGGTACTGGAAATCAGATTCAGGACCTCGTACATGCTAATCACATGCTCTATCACTCAGGTACATGCCTGGTCCATGTTTTTATTTTAATTTAATTGAAATATTTTCAGTTTTTCTTGTGATTTTGTCTTTGACCTATGTGTTGTTTAGAAGTCAGTTAATTTTAACATCTTATATTTGTTGATTTCTTTGATTTAATTCTCTTGCAGTAAGATAACATAATCTGTAAGATTTCTTTCTTTTGACATCTATTTAAATTGCTTTGTGTTCCTCTTTATGGTGACTGTCCCATATGCATTTAGAAAAACTGTGTCTTGTGCAGTGTGAGGGGAAAACATTGGTGAATGTCAGTCAAGGGGCAGCTGGTGTGGCTCAGATCTCCTGTGCTGAGGAGAGTGTTAAAGTCTCTGGTCGTTAGTTTGGCTCTCCTTGCATCTCATCTCAGCTCATACCCAGAACCTGCTTTCTCTCTGCTGTTAGTCGCAATAGCCTTCTTTCAATTCCTCAGCCGAATGTGGGCCTCCCACATGCCATTCTTCTTGCCTGTGTTACAGTAACACTATCTGATGCAACAGACTTAACATCTCCATCACATAACGTAACGCAATAAAAGTTTATCTCTTGCCTTTACAAAGTCCACTGTGGATAATCCTGGTTGGCAGGTGGTGGCCTTCCATACGATTATCCAGAGACCCAGGTCCCTCTGGCTATGGCTGTGTCATCATGTGGGGTCTTAAGAGTCCCTTCCTGGTCCTGTGTATCTGGTAGGTAGATGGTCGGTGGTAGGAGTGTGGTGAGAAAGCGGAGGCTCTGCGGGAGGTTTGGGTGTGGGCTGTGCCTGACTTGTGTCCACATTGCACTGACCACAGCTGAGTCACATGACCACACCGAGGGGCCCCAGAAGCTAGCTGCTGTGGGCTGGGGGCCCAGAAATGGTTTTGATGCAGATGTGTCTCCGTGATGCACTCTATCCTCCACTGCACTCACTAGTAACCTCCCGCCCTCCTTCAGATCTCAGGGTTGTTTTCTCTTACCCTCTGGCTGGGTCGAATGGCCCTAGCACTTGGTGCCCCTCTCTTTTGCGGCACCATCACAGTAGTCAGGCCACTCTCCTTTGTGTTACTGTTCCTCCCGCACTGGTTTCTCAGTACACAGCGCTCTTTGACAACAGGCTTCCTTGCTGTCTCACTCACTGCCAGCACAGTGCTTGGCACACGGTAAGTATTCAGTAAATATATGTTGGTTGAATGAATAAAAATGGACATGAACATATAAGTTAATTGCCCCGTGGAAATTCAGGGTCATCCAATGAGGCTCCGGAGGAGTCCAGCTCAGGCGTGCTCTCTTTCCTGCCCTTGGAACCTTAGTACCTTCGATGGATCCTGCACCCCACCCAGCACCTTGCAGTATGTCCAGGGGTCTGAGAAGCCACTGCTCCACTCCTGGCCCCTTTGATATCCATTGCCCCATTACTGCTCCAGTGCTGGTAGATAGCTTCCCCGAGGTAGTCCCCAAGTGTTGCAGTCACTCTGCTCAAAAAGGAGTTTGTAATTTTTGTCTTCAAGGCTGGTTTGGCCAAAAAGCACTTTCTTAGGAGTAGAGCAACCTCTGGGCCCCAGATAGCCATGAGATGTCCCTCATACTGGCTCTGCTTATCCCTTAGTTTGGGTAGATTCCCTGACAGCCTGCCCTCTGCCCTCCCCAGAGCAGTACCTAGGACTGGCCTCAGGAAAGAAGCCCTTGGGAGTGCTATTGACAGGCTGGGTGGGGTGGGGCATAGGGGGTGGAGGTCTGCCTTGCGGAAGGTGAAATGTCAGGTTGTATACTGAAATCAAAGTCAGTGCCTTTGTCCTTCTGGACTCTGTGAGACAAGTATTCTGTGTGTGTTCTTATTATTTGTCACCGTCATCCCTAAGACTTGTCATGGGCTACATATCCAGTATGATGAAGAGGGAACATTCATAACTCTAAAACATGAAACAGGGATGGTGGAACTTGAGACGGAGGGCAAGGTGTTCTGAGCATGAGCGGCTGATAGTGCAAGAACAGGCACTTCCCAGAGTGAAGTCCAAGCACAGCAGTGTCTCCTCCTGACTCTGCCCCCTTCTGTCCCTGCAAAGCAGGGCCTATCCCCTGTATCCTTGGGTGGAGGTGAGGAACTGGTCCACCTAATGGTCTCCTCCTGCATTTGTTACAGATCGCAAGGGAGGATGCCATTCTGCCAGTAGCTCTCTTTCCATCTCTCTGTGAGCTCATCTTTCATAACAACCCTCTGGTGGCCCACACACGAGGTATGAGGCCTGCACACTTGCCCCCAACTCAGTGTTAAGGAGCAGTGGAGGCCAGGCCCGGGCCCTGCTCAGTGTGTTGGAAAATGGAGAAAATACATAGCTATGCTGCTGTCTACTGGATATCCAGCAACTGTGTGATGCTGTCATTATTGTCCCCATGGACTTTGGTGGAAACTGAAGCCTAGGAAGGTTCATGATCTGCCCAGGGTCACACAGCAAGAAAGAGTTGGGAATCCAATACTGGAGGATCCCCGGCCCTGCATTAGCTCTCTAAGCTACACCCTGCTTTGCAGAGCAGGTCTGTGTGGCCTCATTTCCTACTTCCCTTCTAGGGAGGGGAGTGGGCCAAACCGCAGTGCTCTCCCCTCCCACAGCACACTGAATGCCGCAGTGCTGTGTCATAGGGGACACCACTGTCCAAGATGTGTCAGCTGGAGACATGCGGTCTTGGGCCTGGAGTGATACCTGGGCAGTCCTAATCCTTGCTCCACACTGTTACCCTGGGACTATTCTGTGCCTCAGTTTCCTTAACTACTGAATGGGAATGATATGGTACCTACCTCCTAGATAAGAGAATGAAGTAAGTTACATAAACACACATGAAGCAGTTGAACTGCCTGGTACATGGCAGTCCCCAGGAGATGCCAGCTAATAGTCATCTTATTTTCCCATCATGGCACCAGGTGTCCCTCCACTGCTAAAGAGCTTCCTCCAGGAGCGACTGGGGATCCACTTAATTCGAAAGAAGGTATTAAAGGCTAAGCATCACATTTTGATGCCTCGGAAGGAAACGCGGAAGGTAAGTCTTCCAGGACAGGACCCAGCCCCAGGGGAGGCATAGCCTGTTTTAATGCCTGCGGACTTACCTGGCAGCAGAACCCCCCCCCCACATGCCTGAACCCCTCCACTAGATACAGGATTGCCTCCTCCCTGCCCTGCTCTGATGAATAGGATAGAATCAGGAAAGAGAAGACGGTCAAGAAAAACCCCAAAATGTAGGCAGAAGCCTCGGAGATTATTGAGTCAGTGACTCCCTAGTTTTACAGAAAAAGTAAGGCCCAGAGAAGAAGCGGGGAGGAACCTGCCTTGAAGTTGGAAAACCCAGGGCCTGGCTCCGACACCTCCCGCAGCTACCTGATCCTGGGTGACAGTTGCAAATTCTGAGCTTCAGGTTTCTCAACTCTGAAACCTCCCAGAGTTTCTGAGAGGACTGGATGAAACAACAGACATGAAACCATATTATAGACTCCCCAGACTCATCCCCATGCAAGTCACGTCCCTCCAGCTGCTCCAGGACCAGAGTGCCTCTCCTGCCCATGTCCACTGTCCAGGTCGGCCGCTTCCTCTGCAAGTGTAGCCAGAGCTCTTAGGCTTGCCTTCTAGGGTGCCATGAAGTCAGTCAGATCTCTCTTTCATCTGAAGAATCTCAAAAAGTTCTGTGAAATGCTCCTCCCTCCTGAACTTTAGCTTTTATACAGTCAAAAGCTGGACTAGTTTGCTGATTCCCAAAGCTACATACAGTTGGCCCTTGCCCTGCCCCACACCCTTTCTCTGTCCAGCCACGTCTTGTCCTGAGAGGACAAGAGCAAGCATTTAAAGTCAGAAACAGACAAATTCCAAGGATTTCCATAATCTTCCCCCAACTCTTGCCTTCTCTAAGGATTTCCTACCTCCCAGCCCATCCACCAGCTGGGAAGGAGGAAGAATCCAAGAGAGCTGAGTGCTGAGTACACAATCCTCTCCCCACTTTACAGAGCACCCAGCCCAGCACTCTGCTGAGCACTTGCACACATGCTGTCACATGATACTCAGCCTGTAAGGAAAGATTCAGAAAGGTACGCTAAACTACTCATTAAATGTTAGTACTGGCAGCGGCTAGGGAGGCTGAGGCAAGAGAATTGCAAGTTCTCTTGCAATTCTCAGCAACTTAGTGAGGCCCTAAGAAACTTAGTGAGAGACTATCTCAAAATAAAAACAAAAGAGTTGGGATATGGC